CTACTGATTCACATCTCTCTAATCACGTGAGACCTGGTAAAAAATTGGCCTTTGAATAATTTTGTTACAAAAACACGGGTCATAGGCCAATGTTTCAAATTAATGTACGTAGGCACGGGCCTGATTCCTACACGTTCCCGTTTCTATTGAAATATTGTGGAAAGTCGAAGGCTTTTAGGGAAGGGCAACAGATACACGGCCACGTTTTGAAACTTGGGTATGATCTAGATCTTTAGTACACGCTTCTCTGATCTCGTTGTATGCCCAAAGCGGGAGATTGGAAGATGCACATAAGATGTTCGATAGAAGTTCTCACCGAGATGTGGTTTCTTACACAGCTTTGATCACGGGTTTTGCTTCTAGAAGAGATATCGGAAGTGCTCGTAAGCTGTTTGATGAAATTCCGCTCAAAGATGTAGTGTCATGGAATGCAATGATTTCAGGATATGCCGAAAACGGTAACTTTAAAGAAGCATTAGAATTGTTTAGAGAGATGAATGTAAGGCCAGACGAGAGTACAATGGTCACTGTAGTTTGTGCGTGTGCTCAGTCTGGTAGTATTGAATTGGGTCGTCAGGTACACTCTCTGATTGATGATCATGGGTTTGGTTCAAATCTCAAGATTGTTAATGTGGTGAGTTGGAGACAGCATGTGGTTTGTTCGAGGGATTGTCGAACAAGGATGTGATTTCTTGGAATACCTTGATTGGTGGTTACACACATATGAATTTTTTTTATAAAGAAGCATTGTTGTTGTTTCAAGAAATGTTGAGATCAAGTGAAAGTCCAAACGATGTGACAATGCTAAGTGTTCTTCCTGCTTGTGCACATCTTGGAGCCATCGATATTGGAAGATGGATTCGTGTGTATATAGACAAGAAATTAAAGGGTGTTGTTACAAATGATTCTTCTCTCCAGACAAGCCTCATCAACATGTATGCTAAATGTGGAGACATAGAGGCAGCACACCGAGTATTCAACAATATGTTCAATAGAAGCTTGTCCTCTTGGAACGCAATGATATTTGGGTTTGCGATGCACGGGAGAGCCAATGCAGCATTTGATATGTTCTCAAGAATGAGAAAGATTGGGATTGAACCAGACGATATCATGTTTGTTGGTTTGTTGTCTGCTTGTAGCCATTCCATTCAGGTTTGTTAGACCTTGGACGCCATATTTTCAGATCAATGACACATGAGTACAGTATAAAGATGGAACAAAATTTGGAGGATTTTGGTCACCATTACCGGAGTTGCAGTAAAATGATACTGGTCGAGACCAGGAATTTAACTGTCTTTGTGTTATAGCTGTAAATTACAACAAGACTACTCAAGCAAGTAAAATCATAGCTAGTTAGTTAACACCAATAATTTACGTTTAGAGTTTGGAAAGTTTGATTTGAAAAAAAAAAAGAAGGAATTATTCTGTAATCACACCAAGATTGCATCTCTGAAAAGTTTCAACTAATTAAATTCAGTCTGATTGGTGAGACGCACAAAGATCCCCTTCGTTTTCATATGATAAAAATATATTTTACAAAACCAGAAGAAAGAAACTAAAAGAAAACTTGGAGAGAAATAAAGAGGATATATAAATACAATTGTTATCACCATATCCTCGAAGTTGTTTCACAAGAATTTCTCAACCAAATTTTGAATCTTCTTTCATCTCTCTTTTCAAGTTATTATCATACGAAAAATGAAGATATCATCAACTGGATGCGTCTTGTTCCTTATCATCTTCATCTCTATTACAATTGTTTCAAGTTCACCAGGTCATGGAGAAGTTGGTAAGTTATAATATTGTTCTTAATCATCTTCAAATGTTTATATCAGTAGACTAGTTTACGTTGAGAAGTTGGTATATTCATTAGATATATGAACACAAACTTTAGTTATAAAAGATTATTACAACACGTCGCATATTTTCACCCGAAACGACTTATAAATTTAAACTACACTAATATAGAAACACATTCTTTTTTTGTATATAACGAAATATAGAGGACGAAACTGAGTTTAACTACGAGAAGGAAGGAGATAAAGGGCCATCGAAATGGGGCACACTTAAGCCAGAGTGGGCAATGTGTGGAAAAGGCAAAATGCAATCTCCGATTGAGCTATGGGACCAAAGAGTTTTACTTGATCATAATCTTGGATACCTTCGTAGCAACTATTTACCTTCCAATGCCACCTTAAAGAATAGAGGCCATGATATCATGGTAATTATCAACTATTAGCTTTTTTCATATAGTATTTCATTTTTGTATCATAATAATGTTTTTGGTTAATATTGTGGCAGTTGAAATTCGGAGGAAATGCAGGAAGAGGTATAACTATAAATGGTACTGAATATCAACTTCAACAACTTCATTGGCACTCTCCTTCCGAACACACAATCAACGGCAAAAGGTATATAATATCTTAATGAATAATGTAAAGATTGTTTATCTTCGCATCTCAAATTAATCCAACGTATAATTTTGTACGTACATAAGAGCCTAAAAAGAAACTGATGCTAATTTGTGTGATCATATATAGTGAGTTAATTGGTACAATCTTTTTTAAGGTTTTTTCTTGAGGAACATATGGTTCATGAGAGCAAAGATGGACGTATCACTGTTGTGGCTTTCTTTTACAAATTGGGAAGACCTGACCCTTTTCTCTTTTCGGTAATTGCGCGCAGTCTCTTAACCTTCTTAATGAACTAATCTCTTAATCAACCATTGCTTTTAGATAATTACTATTTATATTTTTGTGAAAACGATTTGATTTATAGTTGGAAAGACAATTGAAGAGGATAACTGATACACACGAGTCCGAGGAATATGTCGGAGTGATTGATCCTTTAAGAGTCGATTTTGAATCAAAACACTATTATAGATATATCGGTTCACTTACATCCTCCTCCTTGTTCTGAAAATGTTATTTGGACGATTTCCAAAGAGGTACGTAAATTACTATATCCACAATGGTTAATAGAGATACTATATTAGTGCTTAATCAATACCATTAGAATATATATCAAATCAAACTCCTTTTTCGTTTTGGTTTTGTTTATATATATCCAATTTTTTTACAGATGAAGACTGTGACATTAAAACAATTGRACCTGCTTCGCGTGTCGGTACACGATGTGAGTGTCTCTAATCTATAAATTAAGTGTTCTACATAATGGTTTAAGAATTATCAAAGAAAAACGACWAATACATAGCTCTTTTGTTTGTTGTTGTTGCAGCAATCTAATACAAATGCTAGACCGCTTCAACGTAAAAATGAGCGTCCGGTGGCATTTTACACACCAACATGGCATATGTGACG